TTGAGATTAACATCTGTGTCATCTGGAAAATCTCTGATAGAAAACTGTCTTGGTTTTGTACAGAACACACTGCACTTGGGTTATCAATCTTGTATGTGAACAGCTGGACAAATCAAATTTCTTGGAACAACTGGTAATTCAAAGTCTTTTCAGTAATTTTCATGTAAGTAGACATACAAAATCTTAATTTCAGTTTCCTTAAAATCACTTCTTTCAGTATAGAAAATTAATAAGTTTCAGTCGAGCATGAGATAAACTCCAGAAATGTTCTTTAGAGTGCCACATTTCTGCTACCATTCAACAGCTATTTCAGATTTTAATGATCTACTATGTTAATTGTGTCAAATGCTTTGATTGGCATTTGAAGAATTTTCTTTCTCAAGGAAAAAAAAAGTTTTTTTGACTACCTGAGTGTAAAAAAACAGTTGCAGAGAGATTTATATGTAGTAAAAAAACACATTAATCCTACCTGTTCATTCAGTAGAGATGCATGTTTCTGTGTCTGAGATTAGTCTATCGATGCACTCTTGTTTGTTTTATGAAGGGCTATTGCACAAATAAAGAAGTGTGGAAAGATTAATGCCGAGCTTTTGATTTAGTAGGTAATGTCTTGAGTGAGGTTTTAGGTTCAAATTAAGGATAACTACAATTAATTGAATGTAATTTGGAAAGAAAAGTCTTTTAGAAATGATGGTCATCTAATGAGCAATCTAATACGTTTGGCAGAGGGGCTGTTGACTGTGGATCAATTAATTTGATATTTCAGTGTCATTTATTTCTAATTCCTCAGAAGAAAGTGAACACAGAGCACCAATGACACCCAATGTCAGGAAAGAAGAAAGAACAGGGATTTTTTTATGATTTTTTTTTATCATACTCCGATTGGCTTCTTGAGGCAATTACTCTCAAGGTTTTATATTCATTCCCACTGACAGGTAAACACAACACCAGATCTCTCACAAATAGTATTCAAACAATCTTGTTGCCAAAATGAAAAGGTACTTCAAAGCATAGAAACTGTGTATGCATCAATTATTCTCTTTAGTCAGTGCTTATTAACAATAGCCTGGGTGACATTTTACCCAGTGCAGCTGCATTCAAGGTAAAGTGACAAAATCTACTGAGGTTAAAACTAATTTTCTTCTCTTTATGTTGGGTCAGTTTTAGCCCAGACTCGCTCATGAATATTCTGTATGGCAGCTTAAGTACTCATGCCAACACATGGGAAACATGTTTTTCTGTGGTATTGCCATCCTCGTGTTTGCCACCCTTCTCTGTACACAGATTGACAGGTTGAAGGTGATCTGGCCCAGCCTAGTCCCTGGCTTGATGACAAGAAGTGGGTGTATATATATATATAATTTTTATTTTTTTATTTGTTTATTTATTTATTTATTTATTTGAGAACAAAAGATTGAGTCTGGGCTTCTTACAGAATACTAGGCTAGGGAGCAGGGGAGGATTATGTTAAACTGCAGAGAATGTCAGGTGACATAGACCTGCTCAATATGCCGCTGTATCTTTTTTTGCAGACAATGTTATAAGCTATCAATAGCAGTTGACTGGGACAAATACTTGAAATAGCCACTAAATAGAAGGCTGGCAGCAATCAGCTGGCTTTGTTAAAAAAATAATAGCTTTCTGACTTGCAAGAAGAAAGTGGGTTACGTATTGAAATATCAGGCTTAAGAAAAATCACAGGAAATAGAAAGTAAGATAGAATTACAGAGACATAAAAAATAGCTGCTTAAGCACTCATTTCCTTATTTTAGGCTGCCAGCTCTACTGTAAAGAGTCCACAGCCAAGAAAATCTAGACTGTCAATGTAAAAGAGGTAGTTATCAAAAGCTCATCCATAACAGAGCCTCTTAACAACGTCACAAAAGATAATCATAGAGGAAAGAAAATAACCTATCATAAATCAGTTAGCTTCATGCCTCTTTTTCTCCCCCATCATGCTAACCCTGAGGATGTTTTAAAGACTTTTGAACCAGACCTCAGGGAGAGGTGAGAACATTCAACCTTGGCAAGACAGACAAGTGTACAAAGTTGTGTTATATATCAAGAGCAATAAGATGCTGAGACATACTGGAAACATCTGACTTTCTGAGTGCATTCAGCTCTTCTCTAAATGGGCTATTGTTCTGGTTGGTATGCATGAAATGGGAAACAGCATACTTTGCTGATCCAAAACCCATTTCTTTTCCTTGTGCAGAGTTTCCCAAAGGTATCTTGACTGTTTCCATTCATTCAGGAGATCAATGACAGAGAATGGTAAAATGTCCTTGAAGAGATTACAGCTTTTGCCTTTTGTATTTTCTTTTCAGAAAGTACACATAAGAATTTTTTGTTTGGTAATAATTTTACTAATAGTTCTAGGAAAAATAAATAAATAAAATAGTGCAATTTTCTCTTATGCCAGTCAACCACTTTACTATTTACATGTTTGTTTCCTTTTAAGATGGAAATAATATCTTTTGTGCTGGGGGCTAGTGTTAATTAGCATGCAACAAATCCAACTACTAGAAATTTTGTCCCTAATCTGAGTAGAGATTACCAGTAATAATATGTAAACTAATGTCAATTCCATTGAAAAATTAAAGCTATACTTGAAATACTGCAAAGATAAATTAATTAATGTTGATTAACTTCTCCAATGTTACTGTACAGTAACATCTTTTTGTATACAGCCAGAATGTTCTGCTTTGGGTTGCAGTCCTCTCTTTCTGCTGAAGTCTTCTTTCATACACTAGGTTAGGACCAAGGATCATGGAAATATTTGAATTTGATACCATCTGTGTTGCATGTATTTTCAGTGGGTCCAGAAGTGTATGACTTACATCATCTGACATATGACTTTTGCATCCTACTGAACAACATCTACAGGACAGTTTTGCACACAGTCAGATCAGATTTGTGTAGGCAAGGCATGTTCCTGCTGTATTCTTGCAGAAGTTTGCATTCCTATTTTTACATAGATTTCACTGAATTTCTAAACTTCCATCTCATTGTGAAAGCGTCACAAATTTGGAACGGTTTTGCCTCAGGTCAGAATATCCGTGCTATCAGTATTGAGGCAGTGTGTGTCCACTGGGGATTTTGAAGTATAAACCATGAATGTTCTCATGAAGACAGAGTGAGAAGGAGCATCACGAGAGGAAGATGCCCTGAGTAGGATCTGAGCTCCTCTTGGTAAGGCCAGGTGCCAGGCTTCCGAGTTCCCAGACGGGGGAGATGTCCTGACAATAGATGGCCCCCTAGGAGAAGAAGCATAAGCCCTGCTGTCCCCCATAAAATTTAGCTTTTCTCGATACAGATTAGTAGATACCAAGTAGTTTATTAAAAAAGAGATAAAATGATAAGGAAAATATAAAAAATTTCACAGAAAACCTACTTGAAGCTGAAAGTGTTTTGTTTTCTTTTTAACTCGAGACCTGCTGAAATCCAAAGATGGCATTAAACTTCCTTTTAGAAAAAATAATTAGAAAGGAAAAGACTATCAATGGATGAACAAATGAAGCCTTTCCTTACTGCTCTATGAATAAAAAATGTTATTAATAAGCACTTTCATTTTAGGCTTCTACTCTGCAGTTACACATTTTGAATGTAGAATTGCACAGATGAAGGTTTTTACCTCTTAATTCCTTCACTGAACTACAGACCATTTTGCAAATAGAAAAATGAACTGTGGAAGACATGGACAAACTAATAGAGGACAGTGAGGATACGAATTTAATAAAAGACCTTTTAAAATGTCTTTTTTTTTTCCTGAAATTTCAGTATTTATATTCCATAACTAATTCAGGACTAAGTGTAGCCAGTCTCATTCTGCTGTTATTTCAAATTAAAAACAAAAGCAAACAGATTCTCAACACCAAAACAAAAGCATACATTTAGAAACCTTGAGATTGTGTGAAAAGGAGAATAAGTGCATAATGCCTCCTGCTGAGTGCTTGCTGTCAGACTCCCCAAGGCTTTTTTAAAGTGCAGCTACAGTACTAGTCTGTTTTTGGGAAACACAATTTCACCACTACTTCTACTGGATTCAACAGGGGATGCATACTCACCTGCAAGCTGTTATCTAAAGATTGAAGGACATGATCCAGGAGTTTTGAACATCAAATAGTGGAAACCTGATAGTGTTTATTTGATGTTTTGAACATCAAATAGTGGTGGAAACCTGAAATGGTTCAGCCATGTTGCTGAAGACATTGGAAACTAGTGGAAATATTAATAGTCACTGTTCCCCACTGAGACTCTTGATGTGACACTGAAAGACTGGAAGGAGCAGAAACTGAAAAATGAGAGAAAAGGGAGCAGGGGACCCAATGTTAAATATACGGATCATCTCTGATAGAGAAATAAGTACACCAGGTCCCAACTATTTATCTGTATAGGGAAGTCTTAACTGGTGTTAAGGGAAAACAGTACTTCTTTATGTTCACTTTTGGTTAGAAATGTAACATTAACTTTTTGCAAGAATATTGTATGCCTTTCAGGACAGGCTGCCAGTATGCATTTTGTATAGTCCTAGTACAATTTAAAATGTGTGTATGTTAGGACAGTTGGTTTCAAACGTTGATTTATGTAATGTTCATTTGAGGAAATATAGAACTGAGCTGATTTCCCCTCTTTACTCTCTGTATAGTCAAATAAAGGTGTTTGAGTGTGTCTTCTGCTGATGACAATAGTAAGTAGGGTTTAAGAGTGTGGAAGTTTCCTCAGACCCCTGCTGGTCATAGCAAAGAAAAGCAAATTCTGCAAATCCAATTGGCTTAACACTACAGAGGGTTTATCTCCACTGTAATAGTATTAACCTACAAAAGGATTGAAGGATTAATTAGAAATAAGGACCAGGAGATGAACTGAAGATTCTCAGGGGAGACACTACTATATTTTATCCTGGAACTGTATAATTATTTGATTTCTTACTATCTTAGAGAGTAGTGCACTCACATGAATGTAACCTTAATCACCTCTTTTTTTATTCTTAGCTTCGTGTTTTTGAGCAGATTGCTAATATATTCCAAACCTGAACTACCTAGTGAAGACCTGCAGAAAAAGAAGTGGAAGAATTCTGAGCTTCCTAATTTGAGTGGAGGTTATAGCACAATATTATTAAGATCAAACTGCCTCTTGCCTCAAATCAAGAAGAAAAAAACTCTTCTTTGACTAAAGCCAGGTAGGATTCTTTTCCTCAGATTGTACTCAGATTTTCCCTTAGGTTAAGCTTTTGTCACAAGAGAAATAATGCCTGATTAAAAGGTGAGATAAATGAACTAAAGTGCTTTCTGAATGGAAAAGCAGAACTCAGGGCTATCATTTTGAGTAGGATAGTAATATTATACAACACTGGGCTTGTCTTCATCACTGGTAATAAAGACTCATTCTAGTCCAGACCACTACATGGCACCCAGAAAAGACTACCTACAGTAAGTACATGCTGGTTATAACCTGCAAGGTGCTGGGAATTGGCTTGCCATGAGGAGATCAGTCACTTCCCATGTGCTTCTGAAAGCTTTTCTCCCAGACTGTAGATGTCTTTTTCTTTCTTGTAGATGTACCACTGTACTTCTAAGTAACATCCTTAGAAACTGATCATGCTCCTTTTTGGAAAAGATGTGTTAAACGTAAAAGTAAAAACTTCTGAAATACATATTGATAAGCTAAAAAAAGAGAAGGCAGAAAAGTACCTTGCAGGCAACGCAGAAAAAAAAAAAAAAAAAAAAAAAAGCAGTAGAAGAAGAGCCTTTAGATCTATTTCTTTCATCCGAGCTCCATTGAAATGACTGAGAAATCTTTCTCATTCATGTCAATGCAAATATGTGACTGTCGTGTTTGAATATTGAACAGCTGGTATCCTTTTTTTTCATGCCAACAAGAATCTGATGTATTTTACTACTACTTTGAAGTACTATTTGTTCTATATTGCTACAGAACAACATGAAAATGAAATTCTGCCACTAAATTTAAGGACCAGATTCCTCTGTCTAGTTTATATAGATAACACTTTCCTCTGGTTACTAGCAAAGCAAGAATCATTTAGCTTGAGAGCACCAAAGGCCTGGTACTCTATCACTTTCAAGAAGCATTTTTTAAGTCTGCAAGTTCATGTTTTCTGGACATACTGGGGATCAAAACAAGTAACATCCAAAAGTTGTGAGGTTCTGTGTTCTCCTTTAATTCTCACCTGACTGCTCACTGGAAAGAGTGGGTGTTTTAGACCCTGAGCCAACACTTGCTCAGTGTCAATATGTGCCGTTGACTATAGGGGACACCATAGCTCTAAGCAAAAGGGAGGTGTGAAACTTTTAGGAAAAGTCTTACTTCCCCTCTCCTGAAGCTGTTGTGAATATAGCATTTATGTCTCATAGACTAATAGGAAACCTGTGCTGGAGCCTCCTACCTAAAGAGATGCTTTTATTGTGGTGCCAAATAAGCAAATGAAATTAGAGGGATGAGTTTAAATTTGGAATGGAAAGGGAAAGAAAGCAATGATGTTTTGCTTGAAGCTATCTTTGGAAAAACGCTTCAAGGGTGGCAGGCAATTTCAGCTCAGTCTTCTAGAGAGGTCAAGCAAAGCTCTTCTATTTCCAAGTACTGTGTGTGATCTGTGGCTCTTCTGAACTTCTGGCTTTGGCTATTTGGAAAATATTGGGTCTTTTTGAAATTCAGCTATGTGCTAGACAGAGCGCTCTGTGGACAACCAAGTGGCAAGATACATGACCCAATGTTTTTAGTAAAAGCATATACCCGGTAGCATTTCTGATATCTTTCCTGCTTTGGCATTTTTGTATCTGTATGATGATTTAGGGCAGATGAAATGCCACAGTGCACATGACTGAAATGTGTGAAAACTTAATTAACAGAATAATTACACAGTAGAAATGTAATCTTCTCTCAGTGAAAAGCTAGCAGGAAATTTGGGCCCTATGGAGTCTGAGTCCAAATATTTTGTCAGTAGAAGAGCCATTAGTCACAAAGAGGCTGCACCTGCTGGAAAGAGTTAATCGGGTTTCTGACTTCAAAGAACACAATACAAATTAAATACCTATCTCATGGCTTCTCAGGCATGCTGCAAATGAATATGTGATTTTTACCAAGCTACCTGGGTAAATCTGCATAGCTCAATTAACTTCAGTTGATTTATGTCAGTTACACCAACAGAAGATCTGGACAGAACTTAATAGCATCTGTACATCTAATAGCCCATCACAGTGTATGAAAATTGGACATAATTCTGCCTCAGTCATCCCTTTGCAACCAGAATGAATAGCAGGAGGATTTGTTATTTATTAAATGAATTCCTTTTCTACAGAATTGAATTTATACTGCTTCCCATGAATTTCTACAGTGGTAAGTCTTGTTTTTTTTCTAAGCAGCATGCGTTTTCTGTGAAAATATTAAGATAATCAAACAATCAGTGAATTTTCTTGATATCTGGTTAGAGACAAATTGCTCAATTGTTTTACTCCTATCAGCGAGAATTTTCATCATGCTAGAAATTGATCACCTGTTTTTTTTCTAATTTCTTAAATTGTTTTAATTTTTGTGTCTTTTAGGTGGATATAAATCCTAAAATAAATGAGTTTAGGTATTAGTTGCAGTTCATTTTTTTCATAAATAGACTGTGGGGGTATAATTCTTATTTTTAATATTCCTCTTTCATTTTAATTTTCATATCAGACAGTATTTAGGCCACTGTGTTGAAGCAAATCCTGCAACGTGATTATCTTCTCATTGAAATGCTCTCTATTGTGCCTACTTGTTTGATGTGTTTTTCTTGTACGTTGTGTTTCTGATGGCTTTTGGGTAAAATAATCATTATATGTCACCCATACTATCTCTTTTAATCTCCAGAAGATTAAGCATGTTTATTTAAAAACTCCTTTGATACTGTCTTCACTAACTCAGCTATTTTATAAAATTGGAAATAATGAATCAGGGAGATGCAATTTTGATAATGCCATTTACACAACTCCTGTGAGGCTAGCTAGCAAAAGGACTGGAGATATGTAAGTATCTGACACACATACAGTGAGAAATGGAAAAATATTGTAACTTCATGTAGGTTATGAAGTGCTAGAAAAAATACAGTCAGCAAAATTGCTGTTCAGTTAATGAATCACATTCTTCAGGGACTGGTGGACCCAAGAGATAGCTAATGAGATCAGGAAAGGTTCTTTTCATCTCTGGGTCACCAGTTCAAATCCGATACAGATAGGCAGCAATTATGAGTCACTATCATTTGAAGGCTCCTTGATCTTCTTGAAATGGAGCTAGTGAACATATGGACAGTTTAAAAAAAGAAGAAAAAAAATAACCCTAAAACTAGACTAGCTGTAAAACACGTGCTTCATATCCAGTACAGTGCTCACCATGGCTGAGCAAAACTTTATAGGCTTTCTTGATCTCAGAATGGACAAGTTATAAATGCTGTCATATGACTGAAGGAGGTTCATTGTGTGTCATTGTGTGAGGGATATGCATCTGAGCTTGTGATCGTCCGCATGGGTGGTCAGCAGTGGCACTCCTTAGATCAAAGACTTCACACTGTGCCATGGCTGTGGGGAGCCCACGCTGCTCACCTGCTGTTAGAGCTCTGACCTGGTGCTCAGCAGAGCCTACCCCTGCCCCTGGGATACCACTCCTCCCAAAGTGCTTATGAGGGTCTATGCACTCCTGGGAGCTATTCACCACTCAGCCATCATCCACTAGCTTAGTTCAGTTTAAGCATGCTTTACCCCGTGGAATCCCTAAATGTCAGATGGTCACTCTATGCTAATGCAGCTCCCTCCTCACACCAATCCAGAGATACGGACCACAAGGAGGAACTGAGGGGTCCCAGTAACCCTGTGATTTGTGATGAAGTTGCACCAACACAAAGGTGCAGATGAAGACAAGTGGGTGAAAAAATAGCACGCCAGACATCACTGTTTGGTCAGCACTGCTGCAAACAGAAATGAAGCTTAGATAATATACTCTGTGAAGCTCAAGTGCTCTTGGACTGTACAGAAAGCCACTTCCTGCACCCAGGAATTTCAGGTTTTTCTCCACCTTTGTGATGTCAGAGAGGGAGACTCCTGAAGGAGAGCCATTGGGCATATAGTCTGCTTTCCTAAAAAGCAGTTCTTGGTCATGCCAACTGGCTCAGGACAGTGGTTTTTTTTGACAACATATTCCTTTGTTTTCTGAGACTTCTTATAATTTTATTCTGGAAATTCAGATTCTTGGGCAATTGCATAAAACTATGAAAGGAGATTTTGCTTTCAGAAAAGGCAGAGTTCTGTCACAGACAGTCTGAAGCATCTATTTCATCCACCTGAAACTGTGATTTAGCATATAGCAAGAGCAGCTGGGACGGTGGAGGAAATTTCACATGGATCTTGTTCTGGTAGCTGTTAAAGCCATGCCAGTTGAGCTTTGCTCTTTGCTTTTTTCCTGGAAAATAATCTCACTGAGCTACCCACATTAGCTGGGCTCAGAAAACTGAGTTTATCTTTAAGACATGAAGTATTCCCAAGAAAAATAAAAAGAAGCTAGCCGAGCAGACAAACGGGAATTAGGAAAACTAATACATAAATATCTCAGTCCTTGCACTGACACAAAAGTGAATCAGCTGTCATCAAAATAGGGAAAAAAAATTGGCTTGTATTCAGATATATGAAAACATAAAAATTCCAATAAACACAACATACCTCACTGGGTTCTGGGAAGGCTCTCCACAAATGACCTGCATAATTAAAACCCTCATTGCCTTTTTAACCCAGAAATAGTTAATGGAAAAACAGCTGCTAACATCCAATAACTTTATTTAAGCGTTGCATATGGAGTAAGACTTAGGTGCTTTTTGTGTGCTGAAAATTAAGATATAAATTCACGTTAGCCATTATGAACTTGCATATTTGCATCAAGCTGCCTTCAGGGATTGAAAGCAACAGTCATATATTTCAGATGCCACTAATAAGCATATGCATTAAGAAAGCAGCCTATCACAGGAAAAGTATTAGAGAAAATGCTTCTGCATTTTTATGAGAAAGAAATTGCCTTCTATTTAATGACAAAGTTTTTGGACATTTCAGTTTAGTTCTTTCAATCTAAAAATATTAAATTATTTTCATTTCTATGTATTCAAATGGATCTTTTAATTTTATTTTGTTTTTTTTTTCACTACCATTATGTTTTGAGAATGAAATGTTTTTATTCTCCTCTTCCTCCTAAAAATCTTACCTTCATTCTAGCCTGAAAAAGGGATGTCCTGGAAGTAGATGACTTTTTTTTTTTTTTTTTTTTTTTCTAAGTTTGCTTTCACAACCACTGCTTGCTTTTGAAAAAGTTACATCAATTTCAGATTTCCATGCTTCCTTCTTCCATTTGGAAACTTGTCCTTGGCAGGGGGGAGTTTTCAAAAACTATGAATAGAGAAAGCAAGCTCGAGAAAAGAGAACATCATGTGCCTTTCATTTTGGTAGTGTGTTTAGGGATAAAAAGCAAAGTATGATGAAAAGGGGAAATCAGTTCTGTAAGCTATAGATTTAGTGTGGATGTTTTCCTATGGTTTGAATGCATAGTTGTTTAGAGCTCTGATGGAAAATCTCTAAATGCTTTATAATGTCCATTTCTCATGTCAGCTCTTTGATGTATAATGTGAGAACTCGCACTGCTGCCTCTTCCCAGAAACAGGATCTTACTTCTTCTGCAAGACATTCAAGGCTCTTCCAAAGATAGTCAAGAAATCTTGGAGGCTTCCTTATTTCTGAGGACTGTATCTTTGTCAAATTTGGATGAGCTCAGTCTAGAGATACAAAATTTCAGAAAAGAAGATGTGAGCAGACACAAAACGATATGGATGCAGCATGACTATAAATCTTATTTCCTCGGGAAACAAAGCTATAAGCATTTTTCAAAGTCTTTTTCAAGAGTAAAACCAAAATATAAATTTACATTTGAGGTGACAAGTTTCTTAAAAAATGTAGCCAAAATGTTGTAGGTTGTAGGTCAAAGTATAGTAAATTGTTTTCTTTTTTTTTTTTTTTTTTTTTTTTTTTTTTTTTTTTTAGATCAGGACCATTTCTTTCTGTCAACAATTTCAGCCTGTTCTTTCAAAACATGAAGAGACAAAGAAATGTCCTCCCGATCTCCAACCCCACTGCAGACCTCTTGGTCAGCCTTGTCTGAGGTGACTTAGCATCAGCTAGTGGAAACTGTCCAGCTGAGTGCACCTGTCGATGGTAGATGATATGTTTTTTGTGTTGTTCGTTTCAGAGATAAAAATGGCTTCTGGACTTTGTGCTGGTTTGTAAGTACAGATGGGAATGAACTTTTTAGCATGTAGCATCCAATATTCAGAATATCATTTGCTTTTGCCTGTCACTGATGAAAATTTTGTCCATCATTAAATCAATTGCACTTTGTAAGCCATACTTTTCACCATGCTCCTTCTCCATGGTGTAGACAAAACAGATAATTCCTCTGAGATTAATTCCTATGCCTACCTCTTTACAAGTAATTGCTCTCCTTGCTCTTGTCCTCTTGACAGCATGGAAAGTTGCTCTGCCAAGAACACAGTCCGTGGCAGGTTTCACATGACAATCTACCCACACAGAAAGACAAAACAAATTGCTTCTTGACATATTGGTGCTATCACCTCTTACGAAGCAGTAAATTGCCTTGTAGACCAGATGATCTGGAAGTGCATCTAAAACATAGGAACCAGCCAAGTATAAAGGTCCTCTTTCTTGTCAAAGATCCAAAAAGGCCTAGCATCTGTTTCAGTATCTAAAGCAAAGGACTTCCTATGGACACAGATGTCAAGCAGTAGATCTCTGATGGTGTCTTAGTAGCTGGAGGCAATGCATCTGTCTGCTGACTTAACGTTGTTGCTTTTTCTGATTTACCTGTTAGCTCCAGCTCTGAAGAAAAGTAGCCTGGCTTGCCTTACATACTTGGTACAGAAGCTTATCCAGCAGATGTTCCTGCCAATAGGAGACGAGATCAACTCGCATCAGAAGGAGGTCACTGGTGAGCTGGGAAGAGGGGGAAGCGTTGGGTTGGCATAGGCTGCTTTGGGATGCCTGTCTTAAACTGGGGTATTAGTGTGTGGGCAAGCATGTGCTCTTTGATAGACTACAGTTATCCTCCTTCATGGCACTGCAGGTGTCCTGGTTTTTACAGAGGCTGCCAAATTTTGTTTCTCAGCTATGGCAAAGATTATCATCATTAGCTACAAAAGCAATGAAGACCAACCTGAGGTTTCACTAAATTTTTTTATTGTTTTTTTCCCTCAATGGAAACTACAGATGAAACTATTTAAACACAATGAGGATTTTATATCGCTGTATAGAGGTGCAAATTAAAAAAATATTTATTTTGCAAGTAAATCTCTTCTACTTTAACAGTGAATTTTTGGCACATGAAAGTAACAAGCAGGATACGTGGGCTACAAAACACAAATGATTTTAGCGTAAACATGGGTTTTCCTGGGATATGGAGCTGCTCTCTCCCCAGCCTTGCCCTGAGCACATTATATGATAGCTGCTGTCGTCATTTCCAAGGGGACTGCAGGGTTCTGCCAGGAACTGGGCTCAATCCTGGGCAACGTGGAGACCTCCTGTTGCCTCCTTGGTAGGGGTATAGGAGAGCCTGATGCTGCTAAGAGCCATGACTGCTCTGAAGGGACAGTAAGGCGACTGTGAAACAAACCGTCTTCTGAGCTTGTAAAATACAACTGTAGCTTCAATCTAGAAAAGCTAAGGCCTCTAACAACTCAATTGATTATTCAGTCTGGAGGAGGCTCTGGGGAGACCTTATCGTTCTCTACAATGAAAGGCCTCTTCTCCCAGGTTACAGTGAGAGGACGAGAGGTAATAACCTCAAGTAGTGTTAGTGTTAGTAGAGTTCAGTCTGGGTATTAGAAAACATTTCTTCCCAGAAAGAGTGGTAAGATGCTGGAACAGGCTGCCCAGGGAGATGGTGAAGTCACAATCCCCGGAATTGTTCATTAACAAAATGGATGTGGCACTGAGGGACATAATTAGTGGGCATGGTTGACATGGACTGGTGGTTGGACTAGGTGATCTTAAGTGTCTTTTCCAACCTTTTTCATTTTATGATTCTAGGATTCCTTGAAAAGAGAAGGTGGCTGTGCGTGACTTCCTGTACTTGTGCTTTCCTAAGCTACAGGGTAGTACTGATCTTCCTCTGCAAGTTCAGTGCCTTGGAGCAGCAGGATCCCTGCCAGTCCACCAGGATGGTGACATCTGTGCTCCTGCATAACAGTGTTTGGGAAGGAGGCATGAGACCTGATATCCAGCACAGTCAGGAACCAGCCAAATCAAGATAATGTGGAAAGAAGAGACACTCCAGATCTATTGAGTAAGTAGCCTTAGTCGTTCCCGGTATACCTGGCTAATCTGTCAGTATTAAGGAAGACACTGAATGCTGAAAAAAACAGAAAACAAAACCAAATCCCGATGTCCATGTGCATTCTCTTGTGTGTTATGAATATATAATGAGATTGCCTGGGATTGGCCTCCCTTGAGGCATTCAAGAACAGATTGGATATGGCCTACCCACAGCAGGGATATGGATCTCGATAATCTTAAAGGTCTCTTCCAACCTAAACTATTCTATGATTCTATGGTTCCATGTAAATCACAGTATTTTGTAGAAGTTTGTTTTTTCACCTTTTATGGGGAAAAGTCAAGATATTGTTTTCCTTTGAGGAGTTGCTTAAGGTATTGTGAATGAATGCTATGAACTATTTGTGTATGATATTTGACACGTTAAAGATGTAGTATTGCAACACAGAATGTCATATAAAACCAAAGTGAAATAGTTCATAGCAAAATATTTTAAATGATCTTGTACTGATTTTTGTGTGTTTTCTCTCTCTTTCTTTTTCTTTTTTCCCTTTTTTTTTTTTAAAAAAAAATTTATTTAAGAATTTACAATTGCAGGAAATGATTTTTCCAGGAGTAGTTCTTAGTGTAACAAGAAACTAGAACTATTGAAATGTTGAATGGCATGCAAACGAAAATTTCAGTTCCCAGCTGGCTCTGTCCATTGACATATTGATATATCAACATATTTGTGAACACCATTGAAACAATCCATGGCAAAGACAATAGATAGCCCTAGGAATTTGTGCAGGCTATCCACTCTTTTCATTGTGGGCTGCTGGTTCAAATCCTAAGGTGCCAGGGGGGCGGGAACAAGGAAAAGCTGATACCATGACTTTAGCTGTGTGGTATGAGTTTACCTCCTTGGGTATAGGTGACAGCGACAGAATTAGCATTAATTAGTCCGTTTTGAAATCTCAGCCAGGGTTTGACATGGCAAAGTGGGAAAGCCTACTGTGCTGCAGACTGAGCTGTGCTTGCTCTGTGGATGAAAATATAGCTTCCCTTTTCCAGATCCAGTCCAGACACTTTTCATTAGTACTGTCACTGTGAAGCCACAGGGAAAGCTAAGAGAGCTGCTTAATAACTAGCAAGAACAATAGGAGAGTATCATCAGACTAGGCAAATGGTTATAGATAGTACCCTGGGAAGACAGGGACTAAAAGCAGTGAACTACAGCCAGCTACACAATCCAAGGTAACAGGCAGTGAGCTCTGGATTAGCAACCAAGGCAACTTTAATGATTCAACTGTAGCATTCACAGTAATTTAACTATGCTATCCAGAACACAAAGCTAATGGTGGTATAGTGAATGAAGGCAATATTCTGAAAGTTTGTTAAATGTCAGTGAATCATAGAATCATAGAATCATAGAATTGTAGGGGTTGGAAGGGACCTCCAGAGATCATCGAGTCCAACCCCCCTGCCAAAGCAGGTTCCCTATAGCAGGTCGCACAGGTAGGCATCCAGGCAGGTCTTGAACATCTCCAGAGAAGGGGACTCCACCACCTCCCTGGGCAGCCTGTTCCAGTGCTCCGTCACCTCACTGTAAAGAAGTTCTTGTGCATATTTGTGCGGAACTTCCTATGCTGCAGTTTCCAGCCATTTCCCCCTGTCTCCACTCACCACTGGAAACAGTCTGGCCTCGCCATTCTGCCCCCCACACTTTAGATATTTATAGTATATTATAGTATAGTATATTATAGTATAGTATATTATATTATAATATATATATATATATATAATATAGTATAGTATATTATATTATAATATATATAAATATATATTTATATTTATTTATAGTGCATAAAAGAGTTTCTGTGGAGAAGGCCAATATTCAGATTTGTTGCTCTTGTTTTCTTCTTTTTCTCAGATAGCAAGCATTTAGATTTTGGTAGTTATTTGCTAGTAAGTAAGGGATGGGCTGTTACAGAAGTTCCTATTGACAGCCAACTTACAGAGTGTAACAGGCTGACACATTTCACTGTCTTTGAGAACTGAATAACAAATGTTTTTGCTATTAACAAATCAGAAATGAATCGGTGGATCTGAGTTGCAGAGCACGCTCCCAAAACACGCAAACACGTTTCTGCATGCACTGCTTGCAAACTCTGCCTTCATCCAAATTAACATCCCAATTTGTGCAGGCTGAGAAAAAAGTGTGAAGTGATAATACAGAATTGTTGTAGCTCAAAACAGACTCTCAAAATTTATTTTACAGCATGCCCACACACAGAGTTCTGCCACTCCACTGCTGAGAATAAAATGGTAGAACCTCTCTCTAAGGATTACACCCACCACTTTATTGCTGAAGATGCTAGCCTGAATAAAATCCATGATTGTGCTCTGTTACATTCTCTCACTCTGGGAAGTCAAATTCTTTTCCAGAAGTGACAGTGTAAAATGTCTGCTTCTTTTACAACAATGGTGCTTTGTGTATATATTCATAGACAGAGCTTTTGCTTTAATGACAGAAAATGGATTTTTACAATCCTTGACTCCCACTAGCATTGAGGAGTCCATACAGTTAGGAAAAAATGAATTAGATTCGATTGTGGCTCACATGTCCTGATTGAACCACTGCTGCAAACTCCTACTGCAGCAACAAATCCTGCTAATTGTGTTGTGCAAACTAGCTACACAGCCTGAGCTGAAGGAAAATTTAAACTCCCAAATAATACACATATTTTTGAATACATACTGAGTGCTGCTCTCAAGTTCACATTGTAGTGGCCCACTAAATCAGTTCTGGCACAGATTTGGAGGCCTGTGAATTCCCTCTGAGCTGGAAGCTATACAGATCCCATGTGTATCATGTGATCACAGATCAGCTGCTGGGGTTATTTTCCTAAGCACTCTTCAATACTAGGGGTAGAGAAAGATTGTAAAAATCCATTTAGTACTTGGCTAAATGTAGTTCTAAGCACAGACTGAAGAAAATAATTTCCATTTCCAATGAAAGCATGTCTTCGGAAAAACTTTATCTATGTAGCCCATCGGAATCATTAAGGTGGTGGTGGTGATGGTGAGTGGGGGTGGGAGAGGTATATTCAATTTATACAGAAAAAAACATGTCAGGACAGATTTTTGTCTATAGGAAATATGTGAGGAAAGATGTAAAGGGAAAAAATCATCTCCATGACAGTCCTCCCTTCCAGGGACTTTGTCACTTGGAAGAGCCTACTGGAGACAAAGGCATACTGTGCCTTTCCGCAGCTTGGAGGGTCTTCACAGCTTTCGTCATTCTTTGAGCATACAGCCATTAACCTGACTGTAAAGACTAATGTTTGGCACTGCACTTGTGTATTAGCTCTCTCACTGCAAGTGGTCACTTCAAGAACCTCACACTGCTCCACGAGCACACCACAGCTGAGATTCGATGCTGGATCTTACTATTTTAATTAGATTGGTAAGTACGCTGTGAATGTTGCTGCTAAACTTATGTTGATCACAGCATACACAAAGGTAACCCCAAGCATCCTGGATCTAAAAGACAAAAAAAATTGGCAGGCCTGTAGTGGGGCTAAAAGGAAGACTAGATTTGTCTTTGTTCCACAAAGTGTAGCATAAACTGCATGGTTTGTCTTCTTAGTATGAAGTTTTATCCACATGACAATGAAGAACTACTGTTAGTAATAGCAATCCAAAGCATCTTTTCTGAGTTGACAAAAATTTTAGGTACACTATTTATAGCACCCGCTGCACACACTGACATGAGAAATAATTGTTACTACAACATCCCTTCAGAGTTATTTTTGTATTCTGTTCCAATTTGTATATAAGTGAAATCTATGAACATTTCCTGTACAGACCTCATACCTTTGTGTAGATGGGCTTCAGATCAGATCCAAGGAAGAGCGAAATAATCATATCAGCAGCAAGAACAAGTTCATGGTTGAGCACCATGATTCATCATGGTGTATGTAATATGTGGTCACTGAGCAGGCAGTGGAGGAGGCTGAGAGGAGACCTATTGCTCTCCATGAAAGGAGGTTGTGGTGAAGTGGGGGTCAGCCTCTTCTCCTGTGTAACTAGTGATAGGACTTAGAGGATAGAGACTCAGATAGGATAGAGGGAATGGCCTTAAGAGCACCAGGGGAGATTCAGCTTGGTTATTAGGAAAAAATTCTTCTCAGAAAGAGTGATCTGATACTGGAACAGAGTACCCAGGGAGGTGGTGGACTCAGTCCATGGAGGTGCTCAATAACATTTAGATGTGGTACTAATGGGCATCATTTAGTGAGAACTGTTGTTCACAGGGAGATGAACAGGTAGATGGCTGGACTATATGATCTTAGAGGCCTTTTCCAGCCTCAGTGATTCTGTGATTCTGTTAGCTTTTCCATGGATGTGTCTGGATGATTTTTCCTTCTCATTCCTGTTTGTCTCATCCTCTCTTCTCATTACTTATCTTTAAGGAGCAGAAACCAATCTTGCTTGCTACTGAGAAAACTGAGTACAAGCCCAGTACAATGCCTTCTACTTTTCCCTCTGAGAACCACTTCTCACAGCGAAAGAAATTAGCTCTGAATTGCCATAACAGAGCATCTTGAGCCACAAGCTCTACCCAGCCTCAGTAGGCATTGATGGCAAAAGTCATTCAATAGAAGTCACTGAGGAAATCTGCAGAAATGATGTTGGTAGGTGACTAGGAAGCTTTAATCTCTTTGGATCAGGATTGAATCATGATATATAGATAGATAGATAGATAGATACAGATACAGATATATAGAACCACTTAGTCTTTTAGACTAAGTCTTCAGATTATAGAGAAAATTATGATTCTTGCGAAGATCCCTTGATTGTTTAAGACAGATTGGAATAGTTAGGACTTCTT